TTCTTGATAGCAAACGGAGAAAAACGGAAAAAGTAGGTAAGGGATTACGTCATTTTTCGATGAAAGTTTGCGAGAAAGTCAAAAAGAAGGGAACGACATCGTACAACGAGGTTGCGGATGAACTTGTTGGAGAGTTTACTAATCCTGCTCATATAAATTCTTTGACAGATCAGGTACAATTTAATTCGTTTCTTCCTATTTTTGAAGCAATAACAAAAACAAAAACAATGCTTTATTTTTTGTCTTATAGCAATATGATCAGAAAAATATTAGAAGACGTGTATATGATGCTTTGAACGTTTTAATGGCAATGAATATTATTTCAAAAGAAAAGAAAGAAATCAGGTGGTTAGGTTTGCCAACCAATTCTCTTCAGGAATGTCTGGCACTTGAGAAAGATAAAAAGAAGAAAATCGAGAGGATTAAAGCAAAAACACAACAATTGCATCAATTGATTCTCTCGCATATCTCCTTTAAAAATTTGGTGGAACGTAATCGTGCCAATGAGAGTCTGCGTGGCCCACCAAAACCAAATTCTGCCATACAGCTGCCATTCCTGATTGTGAATACTAGCAAAAAGACTGTCATAGATTGCAGCATTTCAAATGACAAGTATGACGATGAAATAAGTGAAAATTCATAAAATTTTATTGCTGTCGATGTTTACTATATTTTCATCAATAATATCAAATATTTGTTACAGAACCGAGTACCTGTTCAATTTTAACGATAAGTTCGAAATTCATGACGATATTGAAGTTCTAAAGCAAATGGGTTTAGCTTTCGGTAAATAACTTATTTAATGTTTCCTTTTTGGATCTATTAATCCAGTTAATCAAAGAGAAATGATGTTTGAACAGGTTTAGAGAAGGGTGAATGCACAGAGGAAAATTTGCGGAAGGCTAAATTAATGGTTCCAAAATCTCTGGAAAAATATGTGGAACGTACGTATAATTCACGATTAAACAATTTCTCATATCGTTGTTTCATACTCTGTTTTCTATCAAATTATTTTACACTCTGATTTCTATTTCAGAGTTAGCGTCTGATGATTTGGAAAAGTTTATCCCAGTGACCATTCCTGGACCAAGTACCTCAATGGAAGACCTGGATACAAAATTGGAAGGCTCTCGACCTCCTTCATCTTCTCATACTTCGCTTTCAGAGGATGTTTTATCGCCACCCTCGCAGTATTATTCCGAGGAGGAAGACGAGGAAGAGGAAAGTGATCAAGACGACCAAGCCGATAGTGATCTCGAAGTTAACTAGCACTCCGAACGATTTTCTCGGGGCTGGACTCAGGGTGAGTAATTTACGATGTATGAATTTAAAGATATCCTTTCAATGTATAAACAATGAAAAACATACATTTCACAGGATACTTGTCACTGTTAGCAGCGTATTCGACATGGTCGTTATCGATATCGCTCTCGAAAATGTCATTCTTGTGCGCAATCAAGATGCGAACGAGTAACGGTAATCGATGGTTTTTCAAATACGGAACCTCGTTGTCACCGTTAATAAAAGTCTGTTAATGAAAAATGAGGATGG